ACTTTTTTGCATATAATTAATTATACAATTAGTTTATCAAAGATAATTACAATGCAAGAAATAATTTTTAATAATTGTTTATTTTAAAATAGAAAAATTTTGCAATTATGATGTAAACAAATTTTTAAAACATTTCTAAGAAAGTAATTTTATATGGCAAAATGCAAAAAGAATTGGTCGTATAGTTTCTAAGTTGCCGGGAAGTCTTAGCCCACGAATAGAGGTTATCGAAATGAAAGAAAACAGTGCTGCTTTTCAGACAAAATCCGTATTGTTTTTTTATGGCATAAACCTTTAGTAAACGTATAACTAAATGGTGTAGAAATTATTTTTATAAATGTATTGACTACTTAATAAGGATAGTTTAAAATTAAGAGATAATTAGAGAGTTGTCATAGTAAAAAAATTGTTTGCACAATTTTTTTAAAAATATTTAAAAACATTTTATTTAAGAAAATATAAAAAAGCCAGATACAAAAAAGGATGCAAAATGATGCCGAATACAAAGCAATTAAAAGATAGCATCAGCTCACATGATTATATCCGCAAAACAGGCGCTTTCTAATATTGTATTTATATCGCCAAAGCAAAATATAACAATACTATAGTAAGAGGAGCACCCAAATTGAAACTAAAATAGAACATATTAAGTAAAAAATATACGAAATAAAACAAATCAAGCAAAAAATAGAAAATAAAATACAGAATGAAATATAAAATGTTATCTATAAAGCGAAGAGCGATATAGTATGAACTTACACGTTCTGGAATCTCTCAAGAATGATTTAAAATATTTTCGTAATAAGTTTGCCAGATTACAAAATATGAAAATAGAAGAGTAAATAGAGGAATATTTTATGTCTCGTTCTCACGGCACATAAAATACTCACGGCACATAAAGGACTGAAGTGCATTTGATTTTTTTTGTTACTTTAGATTGGCTCGAAAATGGATGAGAGCAATCTAATAATATTTTACTAAATAATTTAAAGTTTATAAATAATAAGATTGATATTTAATTATACAATTTTAATGATTCTAGAATGATTCCGGTTTGCACAGATTTTTAGCCAAGGATTTTCCCGAATTGGATTTGCAAATGGTATAAATATGAATTTAGTTAACAAAGAAGTTTTTAGTAAATTTATCAATAATAATAACATACAATTAACTAAATGTTTTTATTTAGAACTGAATTAGATTAGTCGGGTATAAATTGTTTTCTATCCATTGTTTTTTAATTTTGAAAGAGTTTGTCTATTTTTTTTTTTTTTGGATAAATGAAAATTACTACATATTCTTTTAATTCTATTCACTTGATTAAAAATGGTATTTAATTAAATGTTTTTAGAAACATTATAATTCCAAGTAATTAGTTTATATTAAAGTTAAAATAATTTCTTTTCTCGTATAAATAAATCAACAATGCAAATATTTTCTTTTTTATTACCTAAATCCAAACAAATGAAATTAATATTATCATCATGATTACGAAGCAAGGTTAATTCCTTGGGGCAAATATTATTTTTAAAAAATCGCATTATCTTGAAAATTAAAAATAATCAAATCATCAAAAATTTTAAAACAAATTTAGTATTAAGAGAATAATTTTTTTATCATGATAGTGTAAAAATAAGTTAACTAAGAGAGAGGAAAAATCAGATTCTTGTTGTATTCCATCAATTTGAATAAAAATATGCTTTCCATTGTAAAGATAATAATTAAAAAGACATATATTAATTAAAATTTCCCAATAATCAAAATCGCAATTTAGGATATTTTTAAAATTATATTAAAAATTCAAAAGAAAATCTTTTAGTTTAGAAAGGAGAATACTATTGGAAGGATTCTGGAAATCAAGAGAAGTCGCAATAGAATAATTCTATTTTGTTTAATAAATTCTAAAACCGGTATATCATTAGTGATAATCCAAGAAAAACCTTTTTTTTTTAAATGTTTTTAAAATTATTTTATTTTAATAATTTTTCTTCTTTTCATTCATCTTTATTATTTTTCATGCTTTCTCTAGATTTTTTTAACTTATTTTATGAGTTCTATATCCTTTCAGCTTATGCGCAGTTAAAGAAACTTATTATTTTTCTTAATTTTCATCGTTTTTCTCTATTTTTCTTTTTATCCTTTTTGTTCTTATATATATATANTATATATATAAACGCGAAAGCGTTTAATGTGGAATAATAATTTAAGAAGGGGAATTTAGATAAGGAAATAGCATAAAAGGATAGATAGAAGCTTTTTATGTTACACGCCCCTTCCCGAAAATCTTTAATTACCATCTCAAAATTGAATAAAAAACATCTATTTACAATACTTTCCCAGGGATAGAAGAACACTTAACATGAAAAGAATAAAATTTGTAATCTCTACACTCATTACATAAAAGTAATATGAATTATAAAGAAATGCATTTTTGCACACAGGATAAAAATTTTAACACAATTAAAATGTTGTAAAAAAGAAATTTCTGTAGCTGGGCTACTAGCAAATTGAAGAGTTTGATCATCATTTCTAACAGTCTTTATGACTTAACAGCTTCTTTCAGTTCGAAGTCATTTGTTTGTAGTTCACAAAAAAACTTCAGCATCGCTTACTTTTTCTACTTTGAAGTTCAAAAGGCTGTTTTTTGAAGTCTCCATCGTATTATGAAATGATGCTTTTTTACGAATAATATCCTATTTTTGTAACTACTGTGTGTTTGAAACTGTTACTCATGTCTGTTGGGTCAAGTTTAGCTTATCTAAAGCCAGCGCTGTCTACGGTTATTTTGAAAATGGCTCTAAACGTCGATATAGAGAAAAGCCACAGTTTTGTGAAAATAAAAAGCGTTTGTGGTCTAATTTTTTAAAATTTAAAAACTTACTCGGATGCTGTCTTACCAGGGCAATCCATAAAAATTTGCTGAAACTGAGAATAGGATAGCGGTTTTCATAATTTTCATCTAGGTGGGAAAATATCGTCAAATTGTCGATTTTTAAAAAAAATTTAAAATATTTAAGTTATTTGTCTGTTCTAAAGCCCAGATAATTCTTCACTTCAAGATTATTTTTTTGTTTAAAATTATAGCATTGCTTCAAGTGTAAGGCACTTAAACAACGCCTGTTTTATTTTCCTTGGCGACAGAGCTTCGAAAAACAACGTTAAGGATTCAGTATTTTTAGGGGAATATTTGCTGGCTATAGGAGGATATCCTAAAGGAGGAAAACAGTCCCAAATCTCAGCAATATTGTGCTGGAAGATCCTAGTTTCAAAAATGTGTTATATAATAATTTTTTTTTATCTATTTGCGGTGTTGACCACAAACAGAGAAAAAGAAACCATCGCCAAACAGGTAAACGCTGAACTCTGAAGGATTGGATCTTCCAGAGAAAGGGGACAACATGTTCTTCTGATCAATGTTATTGCACGTCATATTCAGTACTTTTTTCTTTAAAAAATATATATATTTTGCACCAATGAAAAACCATTAACGCTATTTAAGCTCCCTAAAACTTATTCAAAATTTTAATAAACCTAAACGAATTATTCATTTTCAAAAAATATGACAGTGCTAAGCTTCAAAGATCTTCATCCAATCTAGACAAAATAGTAGGAAAATGTTTAAACGACTGTCATTTTATGACGGGAGATTGTTAATGACAATCATAAATTGTTTAAACATTTAGACTAATGTGTATTAGTTCGAAAAATTATTAAAATTTTTGAAGTGAATATTTTGTACAGTATTAAATCTAAAAGCAAAGAAGATCTCGATTATTTAAAAGATTATAGTTATTTTAATTAAATTTTTTAGCTAATTAACAATTAGGAGAATCTGAACATTTTGAATTTTCTCTTGTTCCATAACTTTGACCTTCCCCATCCATGAAACAAAAACCAATCCTTAAAATTTAAAAATTTATGTAGATTGCTCTAAGTAAGTTTTAACAGAGCTTCTTTAATTATAAAAGACTCAAACAATTCAACTATTCAGCTTTTATAGACAACACAATGTTAAATCATTAATACAACCATGAATTATTGCATTTTACAGTTTAAAAAAAGTAAATAAATATTTTCTTAACTTAACAAAAAAGCGACTGGTGGGAAAGCATTTTTAATGATGATCACAAGCAAAACTTATGGTAAGATGACCAAAAAATCTAGTCCTCCCATTTTAAGCTTCTGCTTTTCTGTGGTTTCTGATTAACAATTTTTAAGAAAAAGAACCCCCAGAAAGTTTCTACAGGAAGAAATTTTCGTCTAAAATTTGGACCACGCACCCTGTGTAGACCCCCAGAAGCCAAAAAAAGGAATCCGTCAAAATTTTTTCTGCAGTAATAAAGATAAAAGTGAGTAGCATTTAATTTTACAGTATTTTCCTCCCGTCAGAAAAAGGACATGTAACACCACTCCGGGGGATGATTTTTTAGATGTTTCCGCTAAAACTTTCCTGAAATAGAAACTTTTTTTTTTTTAAAACCAAGAACAGAAGGTCCTATCTGAACTTTTTCCGATAGAAACAAAATTGATCAAGCAGGCGGGGTGGTTGTTAGTTTCTAGGAACTTGCAGGCTGTCATGTGACATTCAACCTCTTTGCACCCCATTATCGTCAGATATAAGAAAAGAAAAAAAAGACTTTTAGAAGGGTAAACGCCGTGAAAAGGGTAAATAATAAATATAATTATTTAAAAATTTCGGAAAAAAAGTAACGGTTTCTTTGGACATTTTCGTTACAAATACCTGTACTTCCCCCTCCCCCTAAAAAAAGCGAAAAACTAGTAAAAGTACTAAATTTTGAAAGTAACGAATTACAAGTAAAAGTACGTACTTTTTACTTTCAATTTCGTTACAAGTAACGAAAGGAAAAGTATTGCCATGTATGGTCACGGACAATCAACTTTAAAAACTGTATTAAATAAACATTTCTTGTTGACAAATTTTTAAACATAAACATTTCTATTAGTGCCATTTGTACTTATAAAATGCATTTTATTTTTAGAACTTGTTTCCGTCTTCAAAAGCTCCTAGAGACCAGGAAAGTGATAAAGCACACAGCACAACTGAAGTTACCAAACTATCTCATCAAACTATTGATAAATTATCACGGTTGATCTTTCCATTGTTTTTTGCTATATTTTGCATTTGTTATTTCGTTTATTTCTGTCGCAGATAATTCTATAAGAATTGATTTCAATGTAAAGAGAAGTTGTACAATTGATGTTAATTTTGCAGCGAAATGATAAAGAACTTGAAGAGGTATCTTGCGACAATATATATATAAATATTTGTCAAGTTATGCACAATTTATGGCTCTGCTTTAAATATGACGTGCAAATTCTTCGTGCCAAACCTCTTTGGGATTTTCATGTACTCAATGTCCTCTTAAATATTCTAATTCATTAGTTCAAATGATATTACGAAATTAGGCAAAAAAAGAACTTTTTTTTAAGGGATTGATTAAAAAATTGAACCACAATCTAAAAAACGGGGTCCTATTAGTTTAGAGTAGTCGAAAAATGTTATTTTCTTGATTTTCTTTTTACAATATTTCGAGAATTTATAATGTAAATCGAAAAACCTTTTTCATATATTGATAAAATTCGTTTATCCAAAGATAATTCCATGCAAAAATTAATTTTTAATAATTATTCAGTTTATTAAGTTAAATTATTTAAGAATAGTAGAAAATTTTACGCTTCCTNCATGACCGATAAGGCACGAAATCGATACGCCTCCGCCTACTCTCACGCGACTTTTCCCATGCTTCAGATTAGAGCGATAAGGGCAATTAAGTTTCAGTTCGCGGTTTTTTTGATTTCGCGCGCATTTCTTATAATTTTGAAAAAAAGATAAGACTAGAAAGATGAGAAAAAAGATTGCCAGACGGAAAAATATTGCTCGCTAAAACCGGGTCTTGCTCGTTAAAAGCGACTTCTGTTCCATAGACTTAACATTGATCCAACCAAATATTCTCGTTTCCCTCGTTAAATCCGAGTTCTCGTTAAATCCGAGCTCGTTATAAACGAGTTCGACTGTAGTTTCTAAATCAATTAATTTCAAAAATTCTTATATTTCAAAATTTGAAAACTATTAAACCTTTGAAACTTAGTTTCATTCAAAATTTTTGCTGTAAAAAAAATAAAGCGAGTACTCTCCATTCAATGTGGCCCAAGAGTCATAAAAAGTATGTCTTATTTTGTAACTTAAAATAACGTCTACACTGATTTGAACTACATGGAAATCCGATCAGGGTATTCACTTTTTTGTTCTGCTCTCTCTACCTAAAATTATACCTAATGTGCAAAATAGTTCAGACTCATAAACGTGTTATCCCTATGTAAACAGACACTGGAGAAATTTATGCATGGTGTATCTCAAATACCATTCTTAATATAAATTTTTGAATTCTTGTAAAATGAAGTTAAATCGCAATACGAGTCAGAAGTTTATATTTAAACGAACAAAAACATTAACCACTATCGAAGTATAAATATTCATTTTTTTAAGGAAGTGACTTAAAAATTATATAAGCTTGTTTGATTGAAACAGAGAAGTCGGAAACCTGTTATGAAAAACACGTTTTAACAGACAGTTTCTCTGTTTGTTTCTATATTAATGAGTGACCCTTAGTATGTATTCTTTTTTGAAAAGGATACAATATCTAAAAGATTATTATATAACACTCTGTATATCAGTTCTTATTAAAGTTCTTTTTTCGATCTATATATGATTAAAAAAAAAATTCTGAAGAACAGCAATTAACAAAAAATATTCTCCATAACTGACCTTATAATTAAAATTATTTTTGATAATTGAATGGGAATTTGTGCATATAGACAAAAAAAAAAGATGCTTATTTGAGTCAAAATTTGAATATTTAGAAAATAATTGTTATGCAGAGAAAAAAATGAAGCTTGAATTTTTGTGTAATTTTCATTTTTTATTCCCTATAAATAAATATACAAATTTTGTCTGAATACCAATGTCACTTTTTCGAAAGATTATAATAAAAATTCACGATACTTTTCCAAGAAATCCAGTTTTCATAGTAATGAGTCAGACTTCTTCTATGCGTATCTAAAAATCACTATTCTACAATACGTAGTTTCAATGTCTTCAATATAAATATATTGAATATCACATTAATATATATCTTAAATTTTAATACCTAATTTAATTTTTTTTATCATTTTCTGTAGTATGAAGAATATTCTTAAATAGTTTTCCTTTTAATTATATGTGAATCCAGATTCATAACAATCCTTCTAATGTCATCACTGTCTTCTTTATAATTACGTGTCATAGGCGATTCGCAACATAATAAACACTTTTAAATTGTCTTGTACAGTATTATGTAGTTTTAATTTTAATTGTACGTGACTAAAGACTCACCACAGTCGTTATAGTATTCAGGCTGTGCGTCTTCGAGGTTTCGAATTCTTTAAACAAACAAAATTTTACCAATCCATCAACAAATTTTACTTAACCTGATAAGAAACATTTCTCAAATGCTGAATGCGTGAACCTTTGGGAATGACTTCTAATCTAAAGACAGATCGAGAAGCAAGTTATTTAGGATACATCTGTCTCGTATTAGCATTAAGTTGTAGTTGTAGAATATCGACGAGAAAATACAACCAATACCAATGATCGTGGCAACGAGTGTGGCACTGCCTTCAGTCTAGATGTCTTCCCCAAAGGTTCACTCATTAAACAATAGTGAAATAGAGATTTGAATGTTTCTTTATCAGGTGAAGTAAATTTTGTTGATGTATTTGTAACATGTTTCGTATAAACCTTCCCAACCCCGGAGGGAATATCCTGTAAGTGTATAATTAGGAATTTAATAGGTAAAAGGAAAACATATAAATCAGTATAGAGACTTTTACTGCAATTGCAATCATTAGTATGTGCCAATCATTATTATATGTGCAATATTTTATTGAGTATTGTTTGAAACAACTTTTTTTATTTAATGATTTATTTAAAGGCTGAAGTGATTAATAAAATGTTTTTACTTGGAAATGTTGTTTTAATGTGCACTTTCAATTTGAAAAGATTTCTTTTTAAATTTTCTATGTAAACAAAATATATATGTAAAAGAAAATCTGTATTTTATCAAATGTTTCTTAATTTCTATGTAAATTTCCTTTACACTGCTTTTGCGTTTATGGCTGGAAGAAGTGATTCATCAAAACTAAATTGACTAAAATAAAAATGTATATGGTAAGAAGGGTATCTGTGATTCGACAAAATATTTTTTTTTAACTTCAGCATCGCAAACATAACATTGCTGTATTTCATATATCACATATATCATTAAATAATTAAAAATTAGCAAAGAAAAGAAGAAAAGAAAGAAACACTAAATGAATTAAAACAAAGCTAAAAGAACAAATGTTGCCCCAAGTTAAAAATGCCTTTCCTCACTTGATACAAAGCACTTAAAAAGAAATAAAGATAAAACAAAAAATTACTTTCTGAGAAATCAATTCCTTTCTCTGGAAATAAAAGAGAATTTCAGATTATAAATCTGCATATTTGAATGTTTCAAATATCTTCAACTATCTATAATTCAACTCGTCCTATCTGATTACGGTACGTCTGACGAAATTTTTGATTTTTATGCGATGACGCAATTCAATTGATGTACAAGTGTTAATTTTTCAACGTTGCACAATACATTTAAATTAAAAAGTTCATTAATTACTTTGAAACCTATTCATTTTGTAATGAAATGATGCCTTTACAAATCTTTTATTCAATTTTTAGACTAACGTTATAAAATTTTCTTGAAAGTATTTAATGTATTTTTAACATAAAATTTCTCACATTATTATCTATTTACAAGTTACGAGCAGAAATTTCATGACATTCTTTAAAAGGTGGCACACAATGAGACATTTCTCTAGTTAAACTATATAAAACTACCTTAAGATGCTAATTCGAATATTAATTAATTAGCTGAATATGAAGTTTTTTTTAGTGTCAATTAAAAAATCATGACACATTAAAACGTTTAAATTTTAATTAAAAATGTTGTCATTCTGAGGGATGAATTGCTACGAAGTCCTTTTCTTTTTAATTCCGCCAGATGGCGTTCTTTTTAAACTTGTATATATTTGTCTAGTATTTAAAACTTTTACTTTCTAACTGAATCTCTGTCTCCACAGACTACAAAAAATAATTCCACCAGGTATTTTATTGGCACTTTAAGTCAAATTTATGAACAATTCATTTTGTGGTATATTGGAAAAATATTTAAAATATTTAAGCTTTCACTTTCTATCTGAATCTCGGTCTCCGCGGCCCACAAAAAATAATTCCACAAGGTATTTTATTGGCACTTGAAGTCAAATTTATGAATAATTCATTTTGTAGAATATTGGAAAAATATTTAAGCTTTTGATTTCTATCTGAATCTCGGTCTCCACGGACCACAAAAAATAATTCCACATGGTATTTTATTAGCACTTGAAGTCAAATTTATGAATAATTCATTTTGTAGAATATTGGAAAAATATTTAAGTGCATATATGATGCATATAGATTTCATACATAGGTAGATTTCATACATATAAATATTCTAATTTTTAATAATAATGGCAGTTTCCCCGATCGAGAGCCTGATGGATAGACCCACGAATTATTCAGAAAATCACAATTGATAGAGAAGGCTTTCATTCGTAAATTAGCAGAAGCAGAGAAACCTCACAGACTAAACTCAAGGATTTCCATTTAAATATTCATATACAAGAAATTCCACCATTCAAAACAAATTAGTCACTAATTTTTTGAAAAAAAAATTTCTGGATGTAGTTTTAAATGTAGTATTCTCCCTATCAAAGAGTCAAAAATATATTTAAATTTAAATAAAATGCTTTTCATAAAAGGAAAATAAATGCGCAATCATATATTTTAATTAGAACTCTTATAATTAAAAGAATAATCATGAATATTTCTTCAATAACAATACAAATAGTTTTTTTTTTCGTTTTAGCCTATAAATACAATTATTTGCCCAGTTATTTTTAATGTATTGTTTGAAATTAGTATTTTTCCCAACAGATGGCTAGACTGAATCTTTTTAATCAAAAATGTAATTTTCCAGTCAGTTGATAGATGATTTATGTGAAGGCAACATGACTTACGAAAATTCAATAACTCATTTATTATTCAAAGAAAAATGGAATCATAATATTGTTCAATAAATCATGCTCTTATAATCAATTAAATAAATGATAAATAAAATTCTGTAAGACTTGATATCTTTGATTTGTTGTGCGAAGTTGTTATTGTTTTTTGAATGATTTACTATTATTTAACTTGTTATTCATTCCACTTATCATTCACAAAGAAAAGTTTCGTGTCGCTAAAAGAATTTACTTAAGTACAAATCACGCTAAGTTGCGATTTGAAATTTTCAATAAAAATATGACGCAAATATTTATCTCCAGCACATGCTTTTTCTCTGAATCAAATTTGTTGAACATTTCCTCGAACAAATTATTCCGAATCAATAAATATTTGATTGAATTCCGTTTTTAATGTCGCGACTATTGTTTACGAAAGGAATCAAATTAAAATGTTGTTATAGGTTCGACAAAGTGTACTTTTAATTTTAATCGAGGACGCGTGCACTTATATTTGAATCACCTGCTTGGGATAGAAATTGCTTTAATAATTATGCATTTTAAAGAATAGTTTTAACCTAGTTGAAAAGTACTTTTATAAACAGTGGGGAAGCATTTATGCAAAGCAGATAGTTCAAATTATTAGCTTTTCAAAAATTCCATACAAGTGATTTCTGACCGATATAAAATTTTTTATATGTTGCACTACGCCCTAAGAACATAATAATCTTTTTAGAAAGGAAAGGGTTACACAAATTTGTAATTAATCGATATGAATTTTTAAAAAAAATCTGGATGCATAAGATGGGTATTGTGCTAAATGCATATGATGGGGGGGGGGTGCTAAAACTAAATAACTCTAAAATACCTAGTTTTTTTTTTTAAATGTTTTTAAATTTTTTGTGTTTTATTTAATGCAGTCTTGGATGTAAATACCTACTATCACAAAATTCTTCATTCGATTAGTTGTAGAGTTATCTAGTAATAACATTTTAAAGCTATAATTGGAACCGTAAAGATAAGGTATATATAATTCGAAATATATTTAATTGAGGTATCCTTTAGGGGATAAAATTATTTTATAAGGATATTAATGACTGTATTAATGCATTAAAACTTAAAATATTGCAGGAGGGAGTTTAATGATTTTTCGTGTACCTTAACTAGTTCTAATACTATATTAAAAAAAAAAAAATTTTAATCCTCGTGTAAACGATTGTAAATGCTAGAAATAATTTAAAAATTGTTATGCCTTAACATGTTTCACTTGCTTAAACTTGAATACATTATTATTAAATCCTGTTCAATTTTGTCGAGAGAGAACGAAAAGTTTCACTTTTTAAAATTACACCATCACAAAGAAGTTGTATTTTTAAATTATTATTTCACAAGAACTATTCAACCAATTTCCTTCGAATTTCGTCATTTAAATTTATTAAATCTAATTGGTATATCTTACAATTTTTTCGACCATCATTAAATAAAGTAATAAAGAAATAATTTTTAACTTAGCATTATTTTTAGATAAACATGTTTTAGATCTGTACGCGAATATTTTTGATTCTCTTTATTAGTTCTGGAGAGTTGATGAAATACAAAAAATAAAGAATTGTGGCCCATATTTATTTTGAGGGTCAAGAATCCGTCAAACAAAAATTTCTTCTAAAAAAATTCATTTTCGTATTTGATTTCTTAACTTATAATATTATGTCTTCCAATTAATCAGAATACATAAGCTGAAACTGTATGTTAAGTCTTGATATATATTACCCTTGAACTATATATTGAGTCCTAGTGCGTAAAAAAATCCAATCATTTGATATAAAGTTTTGCGCCTGCAGGTCAACAGAGCATGTTTTGTTGCCTAAGAAATAGTTATGAAAGGTGTAGAATGATATTGCTTTTTTTCTTCACTGAAAGGCCGCATTATTGCGTCCCTGGATGATCTCTTTTGAACGACAATGTACGAAAATACTTCAGAATATTTCCTAAAAATCGCATTTGTCGGTAATAATCAAAATCTCTCATAATAATTTGAAGGGATGTATCAGTAAAGGGGCATTTGCGACAAAATCTTAGTTTAGTGATGCGTTCAAATAACGTTGCTCAATGCAAAATTTCTGAATTACTCTTTCATGGCACAAACTAAAGTTCCAAGTATTTGCAAAATAAATATTATAAAAATAAAAAACGAAAAAATTTAACTTTTATTTTAAAAAAAAGTGTTTTTATATATATGTGTATAAAAAATTAACATGTTCCTTAAATGAAATGTAAATCAAGCTCATAAATTTGTTCATATCGTCTAATAGGCAAACTAACTCATGAAATAGACTTATTTTTAAAACAAAATAACGTTTTGATAAACTGATTTTTCTACTAAATATTATTTATTTGAATTTTTTTCAATATCTATCCTTATTTTTTCCCCAAAATAAAACTGTTTTTTTTTAAGTATATTAAAAATAACTTACTCAATTATTCCGTGTTCAGATTCCCATAAAAATAGAGCCGCAACTTGATGAGGATGAGTTTATTTCATTCCAAAATACATCCTGCAACACAAAACAAAAATTACCGATACGCAAAATTTCTTCTATCAAAGAAGTGTTGTTTCAAAACAGCTCATTTTTAATTTAATAAAAATTTCACTTTAAATCATTTCCCCTAAAAATAAGTTTTTTTTTTTTTCTATAACACGAACGAGAAAAAGTAGATAACTATTGAATAACTTTTGAACTGATTTAGATAATTCCCCTAACAGGATTAGAGATCAATAAGGGTGGAATCCTCACAAAAGCAACTTCAAAAGTGTTTCATTTACAATCAATGACAAAGAAACTCATTTTGTCTAGTTATACAATTAAAATGAAGAAAGTTATTAAACGAACTGAACTAATCAGATTATATATTAAACTATGAAGTAAAATTATATGGAAAATAAAGAAAACTGATGTCACATGATGCAAGGATAAAATGGTAATTTTTTTTTTATTTCTGGCTTACTTCCAGAGTAAATAATCAGTAATTGATCAATGCTCATGATTCCAAGTAATCATAATTATCTAAAAAGCAGCTATTATTTTAATTTTAATTACAATTATTATTGACAAGCAATAATGACTGGATTTCTCATGAAGATGATTCAAATGCAAGTCATCCGATTTTAGAAATAGTTATGAGTATTATGATTATTACTAATATCTGCGGCAGAGTAGTTTTTGGAATCATTAAAAGGAAACACTATCTGGAAATGTTTTTAATACTACTTCTTATTTTATTAAAATTATTTCAAAATTATAATATTTTTAATGAAAATATAATTTCTTAAAAAAATGTTTCTAAAAATTGTGATTTTATCTCAATTTGAATTCGATATATATATATGACGGTGGTACTAACTACTCTTCTTTTTTAAAAAAATGTCTCGCATATGGAAAAATAAGAATATTAAAACTGTTATGCATATTTGAATAATTTGAAGTGAAGAAAAATTTCTCTTATTATTTGGCAGTATTTAGGGAGTTATTAAAGCATAACGCTTGAAGCACAGACAAAAATTTATTTTAAATGTAATTTGCAGTAAAAGCTTCAGTATTAATTTATAATTGTGTCTAGCGAAAGGAGTGAATTATTGCAAAAGTTTTCCACATAATACCCTAAAATATCTCTCTCCAATCAAATAGGCCAATTTTGAACATTCGTGATATTAATTGAGTAACATGAAAGAAAAAAAAATAATAACGTCTAGATATTTACAAATAAAGTTTAAATATGATTTCTACTTGATACTATTCTTAACAAATGGCAGCAAGTTATATTGCAGAGTTATATTTTTCGGGAAAGCAATTTAGTGTTAGTCTAAAATGCAACGTACGAAACCATTATTTTAAGAAAAATAAAGATTAAATTAATTTAAACATATTTTTCTATATTTAAAATAGTTTTAAAGCATTTAAACATTTTCTGTAACAAAATGCCATATCTATACTCATGAACTACAAGGATTGTCCAAAAAATATGCGCGCAAGGCTGATAGTTTTCTCATAAATTTTATTGATAACCTGGTGTCCTAAAATTCAATGATTTCTAATTAATTTTTCTTAAATAGAAAAGTATATTTTACAGCATGTAATATAAATATGAATACAATTTAACATTTTGCTCCAATTTTTTGGGAAATATCCTAGAGCAAATTATAAGGTAAAATTTAAATATTCTGAAAAATAAATAAAAAAGTCCTAGACTACATTTAAATTCTAAAATGTTTAATCAGTCGTCTATATTTTAGAATAAAATCTCTAAAAATAAAAATACAATTTTCCAATGTTGTTTAGGTTATCTATTTAACAGTAATTACGATTTTCTTTTTTCCTTTTTCGAGAAATACGGATAAAATTCAGATACTTTCAATTTATAGCTTAATGTTGTATAAAAAAATATGTATGAAAAATTTTTTTAATAAGAATTATGCAAAAAAAAAACTTTTCGTAAATTTTTTTATTCGTGAGTAGAATTCAAGTAAAATCAGAGATACTGTCGTGTGTATCTTTATTAATGTTTGGTAAACACGTTATAATTAAATAATAAAAAAAATATTTCGGATTTTTTGTAGGCAAATCACGCGTGATAAAACTCATTTTCTGATTTTAATTTAGAACATTTTAAATCAGGATCAACAAAAAAAAGAAAAAGAAATAAAAAAATGAGAGGGATTGTTGCCCTTTTTTGTTAGAATTGATTTTAAGAGTTTTTATAATTTTAGTTTTTCGTTGGGAAAACTTACATTTCTAGAATGAAAGCGATTCGTAAAACAATCTATTTTCCTCAAAGCACGCAAATTAAAGTTTGTAGCTCTCCAGTTCTTCTATTTGCAAATTATTTTAATGACAAAACTGAGGATTTGAAACATAACATTAAATGACATTTTTATTTGTTTTATTGTTGCACATACGTAAGCAGACTTGTGTGCTCAAAGTACACCTCTTTATTTAATATCATATGATAAAAATTTGAATATATTGTTTTGTTCTACAATTGCTCATTTTTAATAAGTATTGAACGTCTGTATTCCGCTGACTGTAGGGGGATTATTATTTTTTTTAATGAGTTTGTGTATTTTGAGTAAATGTTTTATTCACATTTTTTATATAACATTTTAGACATATTTCTTTTTTACTGCGTATAGCTGGGACTAATGTGCTAAAGTACAGCAAAATAATTTTTTTTCTCATGCATCTTCATAAAGTTAAAATACAGTTGGAAAAAAATATCGAATCCCCCGCAGTAAATTTGACATAATATTCGAACTTTACAATACTAAATTGCAACTTAAATGATTTTAGGGCAGAGACGACGAACCTATGGCACGCTTGCCACAAGTTAGTGCATGACCAGTATTTCTGTGGCAAATGAAAAGTAATTACTTTTATTCTTTTATAATTAGGGAATAGTTAAAAAAAAAGAAAAACATTCAAAGTCCAGAGACCATCAAAGGCAGATTCAAAAACAAGTAGGATTTTGGTCGCCATTATGACATTTTCTGGTTTAATAGTTCCTTCTTCACTTTGGAAGTTATGAGGGGGGGGGTGACTTTTTCTAGGGAAATGCGCAAGGGCAATGAGTTGTTAAAAGAGAACGCGTACTCAATTGCAAGTTGTGAGAAAAAAATTTAATAGTAAATTTATACAAAGCAAGTGTATTTATCAATGAATTCTATATGAAATAAACTGTAACAAACCATCTTGTTATAAAAAGCAACAACTTGTAGCCTTTATTACGTATAATAAGTAAAATTGTATTTCAAAAATCACTCTCGTTTTTTGTGATTTCAATTTCACTTCATTAAAAAAATAAACTAGATGGAGGAATTACTAGAAATTTTTCAATTACTCTCAGTGAACTAACAGAAAGTTTCCGTAGAGGAAGTCAGCATCGAATCATGCACTGAATTTGCTGGAGCCCTTTTCAAGAATAGCTTCGTTATATGACGTCTTTTCTTCAGAGAATATTAAAATAATTCAACGAGGTAGTTCATTAATTACTGAAACAGTATGTAAAACTGAAATTATCCGTATTAAAAACAGAAAACACTCACTTATGTGAAATATCGTAAAAATGTTGGCAACCCTGCTGCTACCCATCATCTGCTACCAACTGCAGAAAATGTATTAATAAATGCAGTTTTAAAACTGTGGTGATTAGGCCAATTCCGCTACGGAATTTTTGAGGTCAAAACACTGCAAAATTACTGCAGTTAGTAAACAGCAGTAATTTTGTAGTAGCACCAAACTCAAAAATTTTGCAGTAAATATGCAGGATTATTAGATTATGTAGTGGTGCCATCTATCATAAGCGATGGGATAAACTAGACTTTTTTTATTTAAAAAAAATTTTTGTTTCTACTTTTTTAATTCATTCTATAGTTTGTCTAAGCTAAGAACTCCTCCCACCACAAAGTATGAGACCGTCTGGTGCTATGGAAACAAGAAGGACGCATTTTAGGGAGGTTAGCTTCACTCTAGGGCTAACGCAACAGACCGAAGAGATTCCCTTTCTCTTGCCGACCCGAGCTGAAACCATGGCAAAACAGAGACTCAGCACCCCTACTTGAAATAGTCATACCTCGTTACCATAGTTACCGCCACAGGTCCAGACTAATGTTTGGGGAAGTTCTTATTTTAGACAAACTATAGTGATTATGAGCATCAATTTTAGAGTGCAAGGCACTATATACAATTCATATGTTGAAGGAATGTAACAATTATTAACATGTCTTCGCTGGAGATTAAACTCTCATTCTGTCGGTCGTGAAAATGACCGATTTGCCCTTTCGGCTGCAGCTCAGTTGCTGACACTCCGCTAAGATCTAAATAGTTTCATTAGCAAGGGTCTAGTTTGCCTATTAATCATAATAGATGTAAACCTTTAATAAACTATTTTTCTCAGAGTCAATAGTTTGACTACTGTTTTTTTTTTAAATATTTATTTGACTTTTTATGGTTGAATACGATAAAATAACAACTAAATTAATTATTATTTAACCGTTTATAAGAGAAATTTCGAATAATGTAGATTTTCATTTTTCACCTTATTACCTGGATTTGTCATTCTTTTTTTCGGACCAATTTTAAAAACAAGCAGCTCTTTAAATCACATTTATGTTCAATTGAAAATACTATAAGCTATATTTTTTCAAACAAAGTTATTTGTTAATTTAAAAAGGATTTAAGCAATAAAATAGGTATATTGTTTTAAATTATCTAAATTCATTAGATAATTTACAAATTTCAGAAACAGACTGAAATTAATAAAGTTTTGAAGGAGAGATTTAAAGCTAAAAAATCTGGTGTTAAATATCCATTTTCGATTTCAATTGTCTGAACTCTTTAGATATAAATTTGTTTAAAACCCAAATAAAAAAAAATTTTTGATTAGGCAAAATGACAAGTATAATTTTAGTTCTGAAATAGTTCTAGCTTAGTGCGAATTAAAATAAAAATAACTAATTAATATTAACAACTTACATTTTACTCTAATATTGTTTTCACCGTAACTTTGTGTAAAAGCAGCTTCTTAAGTCAAACTAAATAAGTAAATAATAATTTAATTAAAAAAATTAGTAATAAATTAACTAAAATTCAAAAATATTTAAATTTATAATGTTAAGCAGATTTTAGAACAATTAAACTGTGTAAAAATCATACTTAAAAATTTTCGACGCTTCTAAATTATAAAATAATTACAACTATTTCAAATATGCATTTTATGCATTTTTCTTTTATAAATATATACATTGTACCTTATCTCTGCCCTTAATATGTATGTTTCGAATTTTTATCTAAACATAAGAAATTAAGAGTCAGAAATTAATATATAATCAAGAACGAAAATGTTATAAAAATTTGAAGATTCATTAATGAGGACTTCAAGAAACATCTATTCGATTGCCGGAAGACTCTCTCAATTTTACAACAATA